ATATTGACTTATGACTCACATGTTGATAGTGTGGTGTAATATTTCGAATTAGGGAAAGCATTACAATGAAATGCTTACAACATTTGTATCGGACATTTGTTCAATATTTGAAAATGAGTATTTAAGAAGACTTTAACAACAAAGACATTAATCAACTACTAGAAATGAAAATGACACATTATGTTAGATCAATTTATTGCATGCATTAATGTGAAACTTATCTAGTTACATGAAAAGGTCAATTTTATCAAGATAATCATGCTAACCCAATAATCATTATTGAAACCATGACATCACAAAATTTATGGATTTGATATGCATTTGATAACATGGTCAAATAATATAGGTTAAGTAACATAGGTTAAGGATTCTCTCCATCAAAGCTCTCTTTTAGTGAGTTTTTACACTTTTTTTTAATATATAATTCAATTTGAGAATATGTTGAATGAAGGTAAAAAATGTTAATGAAAGAAAAAAAAACAGTAATATGGGGTTTTAAAAGTAAAATATGAAACCATCAATTAAAGAGTAAATAGGACATGGTGTTAAAAGGGGTCAATGCTGGGGAGAGACATAGATTTGGCATGAGGGAGTATATAGAAAATCTTCTATTTTATGTAGATTTTTCTGCAAAAAATATTTGCAGAAGATAATTGCAGAATTTTATAAAAATACAATTCACAAGAAATAATTATTAATTTTTATATAAAAAAAGCAATGAATTTTACAGAAAAAAGTTATTTGTAAAACTTTTTACAAAATTTCCTATCATTTATTAAATATTTCATGTAATTGTATATTCTCAAAAAAAAATTGTAGGAAATAATTTTTAAGCTTTATTAATTTTTAAGAATATAAATTTATATAAATATTTAATAAATGGTAAAAATTTTGAGAAATAATATTTATTTTTATAAAGAAAACATCAATTTATAATTATTAAAATAAATAATATAATATATATTAAATGATTAAAATATATGAATCACTTAGCTCACTGTATACAAGATAAAAATAATTAAAAAATAAAAATATCATTTGCTCAGAAACCCTATTTTTCACCCTTGAACATGTTCATGTTCTACTTCACCAAATTAAAAACTCTTTCATTTTCACGTAAACAGTTCAATGTTGTTCCTTACTAACCATTTAGAAATGAAACTTGGAGGATAGAAAGGGAAAATCTTATGCACCGCAATTGCATTAGGTTTATACTCTTTTTATGGTTTAAATGTTGTGAGATTTCAAATTGGATCGAACAAAAGAAAATGCTACAAGACAAGATGCAAGATTGAAACTATGTGGAGCAAGACCATCCATTCTTATTGTACTTTGATCGATTTGGTCCTACTCCTTTTTTCTGTTTTCGTAATTTTGAAATTCTAAAAAATGTTGTTGTACAGGTGACGAGTGTCTATATTTTTTAATCTCAAAATTTTTTAGTTGGAGAATATATAATCTTTAATTTTTTTTTTTGAAAATATATCCGTATTTATTATGTTTCAGATTTAGTGAAACTTTAAAAACCTAACATCGAGGTAAGAAATTATCTTATTAAATTTGTTTACCATATCCAAATATCATGTTTCTGATAGAGTAAATTCTTCATTTCTTTTTATCTTTCACATTCTGTTTATATTATTTGCTACTTGTGACTTATAGTTACAGATTATTAGTTGGTTTATATATTTACCTGACAGCATAGTTGTCGACAATATTAATTGTATTTCTTGTAAAGAGACATCAAAGGAGCAAATATACTCTGATATACTAGTGGTCAGGTTAAGTTGGAGATAAAACTTATCCTTTTCTGCATTTAAGGTAAATTGTAGGATATGAAAATTTGGTTTCGGTTGCTAGTGAAATAATAGATAAAGGTTTAAAACTTACCCATTGAATGACTCTGGAGATACCTTTTTTGTGTTCAGTGGGATTTATTTGTGTTTTTATTCTTAATTTTGTTTTTACCTTTTTTGAAGAGACCTTTTCCGTCCCACCTCCTACCAGTTTATCATGCATGACTTCAACTTGAAAAGGATTACTATGAATCCAAAAGACATTGTTTTCCTGCTTAATCGGTATTTGATACTGCATATATATGGTATAAATAATTGCAAGTAGCTTCTTAACAGTGGATATTTGTAACTAGTTTCAGTAGTTTCTTAATATTATTTCAAGTTTGTTTTCTTTATCATGGTTCAACAGTTATGTTCTTAAGTATAGACAGGTATATTTTTTGCCAATAACTTAATTAATCCTTGAATAATGACAGGATATACGTTCTTAAGTAATTATTTGTTTTCAATAGTAATGGATGTTGAATTGCTGAATTTTGTAGTTGTAGTTTTGTCACTTATTTTTTTTTTTCAATTTATAGAAGGAGGAAAAAGCATCATTTGTTAAGTTATTTGTTGTTTTTTTTTAAATATTAATATTTATAAATAAAATAAAATTTTATGAAATTTGTCAAATTTAAAAAAATATATATATAAAATAAAAAATGTATATGTATTTTAAAAAATTTAATAAAATATCTTACAAAAGATTTGAAAGGGAACGTTATTATCAAAAATAATTACAAGCAAGTTGGTGCAAAAAAATTTCAGGTATGTTTTTGGCAGGAATATTTGCTGCAATTTTTTTTTTAAATGTTTCTTCTGATTTTGTTTTGTAAAAACGTTTCTTGCAAATTTGTTTTAGAAAAATTTGCAAAATATTTCTTGTAAATTTGATATCCTTGGATGATTAATTATCCATGAAATAATTAAATATTGATCATAATTTGTAAAAAATTATAAAAAAAATGAATTTTTTATTAAAAAAAAAAAAACTTATGAAATATGAAATTTGTTAATAGTGACAGGACTGGTTTAGTTACCTACATTCAAGCATCCAAGGAGAGTTTGGGGAGGGAATGAAGGTGAATTTTGGTAGGAGGAGTGGATAGATGAGTAACTTGCACAAAAGGTTGAAGATGGTGTTCCTGAATTCAGAAAAACACTGTAATGATATATGGATTTAGTTATAAGGACAGAATGGGAGAATATTATGATAATATGGCCTATGTCCTATCTGGAGTGTAAATCTAACATCAAATATCTCTTCTTTTGCATCGAAATTAGTGTTTGACAGAGTTCAAACAAGGAGAAATTTGAAAGCACCACATTCTCATGCAACTCTAAATTTTCATGTCTATTGTCAATACGAGAAAGAAAAGGAAAATCCCCTTGCTATATTTTCTTGTACCCTTTGTTTAATTGTAAAGATGGATATAAATATGAAATGAAGATAGTGTTTGGTGAGAGAGATAGAGGGCAGAAATAATTTGAAGAAATGGTACTCTATATTTCTTACTTTCTCTCAATCAAACATATTTAGTTTTATTTTATTTCTCAACTAGTAAGGTTTTCCATTTTGATTTGGGAGGAATTTAAATGGATTGGGGTTGAAGTGGCAACAGATCTTATTATGCATGATTTATGCTCTGCATGCATCTTTCAAAAGTGGTAGGTGTAAAAACAAATTACTTTCATCAAAGGAAGTTTCATGTCCTGGACTTGAAGTTAAGTTGGACATTTTATGCAGGGAGTAAATATTGGTATCTATGCAGGATTTGTAAGATAGTGTGATCATGAAAGTACACAATAAATTCGCAACATATATACATTGGCAAACAATTCTTTTTTTGAAACATATAAATCTAAAAAAAACAATAAAGACAAACATACACGACAAGTACCGTAGAAAAGACTACAAATGTGAACATATAAATCTTTCAAATACTTATATTTCATATCCCTAGACAGATAAAATTTAAAATGCTGTTATAAACCAACTATTCTAAGTAAATTGCTGTTATACATCTATATTCAAATGTAATATACCTAAAAATTCACCTCCAAGATTTTCTTAAAAAAAAATGTATCATTTGTGAGAAAAATGATAACAAGTGCATTTTAAAAAAATGGTCCCTCCCTTTATCAGATGATTGACCCAATATTGTTTCCTTCGTCATCATCATTCCTCATATTCAAAAAAATTTTTATTTTAAAAAATAAATTTCAGCTATTAGTCTCAAAACATATTTTTATTTATTTTATAAACAACTTTTTTTTCTCAAAACAACTAAAATCATGAGAGAAAAAAAAATATATCATCCCAAAATGTACTCTTAGATGTGCTCCAGTAATACTAAATTATTTTAATAATTAATTATTTGTATTATTATTATTATTATTATTATTATTATTATCATTAACTGTGATCACAATTATTGTTTATTTATAAAAATCATCTCAAAATTGATTTTTAAGATAATTAATCTTATTTAAATGCAAAAAATATTAACACATAAGGAAAATAGTGTGTATAAAACTGATGTTACAAACATCAAACTTATTTTATAAACATCTTTACTTATATAAAAAAATATATAAATTTTGATATTTGTTTTTTATCTCTTTCTTCATTTCTCACCAGTAACTAATTGAAATTCTAACATCTTATTATTTCGCCTGCAGTTTTTTTTTTCCCTATATATCTCTCTTTTCACAGCCCAAAAAATGAGGTGTGTATGTTTGTCAGCGTTTCAATGAAAAATTTGTAACCACAATCGATTTAAATAATCATATTGAATAGTTTAAAACTAGAAATTAAAAAATAATTTTCTCAAAGTGAAAGCAAGCCAAACAGGTAAAAAGAAAGTAAATAAGATGCCCTTTATTGAAAATGAAAACAACACTACAGACCCAACTACGTAACAAAGAATGATACTATGCAGAGTCTGCGTTCCAACAATACATGACGTTGAAGATGATGGCTCAAGACATGCCTGCATGTATCGAACCCTATTCCATTACTAATCATGTCACATAGATAAATGGAACTACCTGATACTGAAATTCAAACAACATGAAATTTAAAGAACAAGACGAAACTTAAAGAACAAGATGAAATTTGAAAAACAGAAGGGCATCATCATGATGGATCCATTGAATGGATCAGAAGAAACCACCCGCAGAAGCAGGTCCAGGTCCATAACCTCCCATCCCCATGTTATCGAACCCGTGGTGCTGCTGCATCATGGTTGAATCAGGGAACATATAGTTCTGAAGCATGGTAGGAAGGGTCGGTGCACTGAACCCCTGAGGAGGCTGAGGCAGAGGCTGAAGCTGAGGCTGAGGCTGAGGCTGAGGCTGAGGCACGAAATTGGCAGAGGAAGAAGCCCCAGGGAAAAACTGATGACCCTGGTTTACAGCATTCTGAAGCATGGCCCTCTCAGCAAGTTGCGCCACGTGCTTCTTCAGCTCTTCCAACGCAGCCTTGTACTGCTCCATCTGCTCCACACTCAGCTCCTCCGTGGGGCGGGTCCACCACATCAGCTCCTGCGCCTCCTTCCTCAACCGGTTCAGCTCCTCCCCGCGCTTCCTCTCCGTCTCCAGCAGGTCGTTCACCTGAGTAAGCTGCTTGTTCAGGTCACGCACGTTCGAGATGCGGTGGGCGTCAATGAACTGCATGGTGCCGGACTCCGGAGCAGGAGCCCGCCCCAGAAAACGGTCGATCACCGCGTCCACATTGGGGTGGCCGAAGGAGAACACCTTCTCGCCGGGAGAGAACACCACCAGCGCCACATGGGCCCCGCAGAGGGTGCAGAGCTCACTGGCCTTCTTGAAAAGCCCGCTGCGGCGCTTGGAGAATGTGACTTGGAGGTTACTCTCGTTGCTCATTTTCTTCATCTCGATCTTTTGACGGCCACGGCTTTTCTTCGCTCCCGAATCCATGGCCGTGAAAAGGAGGAAGGAAAATCTTATTACAGCTTAGGGTATGCCGCTATGGAGAAGAGAATGTTGGCAAGAGACAAGAGTTAAAATGGTTCAATTTATAGGCATTTTCTGTCTGTAAATGGAGACACCCAAAACAACACGCGGTTCTCGAGGCTCCAACAAAAACCATCGATTTTCTTTCATTCAAGTGGTTTCTGGATTGGGAGATTGTCAAAATCACCTTTCCATGCATATATGGAAGAATATTTAATGTAGAAACACTCACCAAAAGAAAAAAATTGCTCTCACAAAATTGTATGTCTTTTCTTAATCTTGCTCAGCCATTTATCAGATAAGGCGTATCTGAACATTCCTAGCTGTCATTACTCATCTTAATATTGTTTCTTTTTATTCATAGAATTTGTAAAAACACAATTTACTATAGAATTGTTGTACTAACATTTAACTAAATGAAAAACTACAAGCATTTACTATCGAATTGGTTAACCCAGATTTTTATTTTGAAGGTTGACAACCTTGTTTTAATATGTTTGAGATAATAGATCTCCAAAATATAGTTAGTCTAAAATTTTTGCTATAAAATCAATATTTCATTTAGCTTATTGATAGGATTATCTAAACAAAATCCTTATATGTTTTTTTTTTGCTGGAAAAAATGGTTAAAAGAAGAATCTAGTTGAACCGAAATTCATAATATAGTAAATCAACATTGATACGATTAATCAGTATTGAATCGTTCAAAAGAAAAAAATAAATAAAGAAATTTCTATGGATGTAAAAAGAAATATTAATTATTCCAACATAAATAAAACTTTCTTAAAATTTCTTTTTTTTTCTTTAAAATAAACATGTTTGTTTTGTATTGTCTTATTTATTTATTTATTTTTTAAAATAAAAACAGCAAAAAAAGGTGAGTTTTTTTTCTTTTACCTAGTCATTGCATTATAACTTTTCTAAATGTTAAATAAAATTAAATAAAGATGCACCCAAAAATTATAAAAAAAAATGTTTCTTTATTATAGTTATGTTTTTTTTAGAAAGAATAATTAATAATCTGAAATAAATGTGTTAAATTAATCATTAATCAATAGTATACATTATTAATGATTTTGTGGTAATTAATTTATTATTAAATATAAATTACAAATAAGTATGTCCATTATTGTATATTGTCACTTGGTGTCAAATGTTAGACAAATTAATTTTATGAACTATTATCATCTTTTAAACATACATTTTTCAATCATTTTCAATGTATTCCTAATGTATGATATCAAATAAATATTTAATGAATTAATGTTTTGTATCCTGTTGTTCTTAATTTCTAGTTGGACATAGTTAATTCTTTAGTATCAACCAAAACTTGTACGAATGTAATAGGAAAATGATACTTTGACAACCCAAATTCATACAACTCCTATAAACAACTCTCTTTTAATATTATAATAATAGTTTTGTTTTATTTTTATTTTTATTCAATCATTTTATAGATTATTATATTAATAAAAGTGAGTTGTTTGAAGAGTTGTATGGTTTCTAGTTGTCAAAATATCACCACTCAATGTAATAATACCCATTAGTTCTAGTTGAGATAAAATTTCTTCCAAGTGAGAAAAAAATTAAAATAAATAAGTAAAAGAGTAATTTATGTATCGAGAATAAAGATGAAAAGTCAAATAAATCTAGCTCAATTAATAATGTGTATGAATTATTATATATCCAATATCAAATTTTTATTTTATGAATAAAAGAAGTATGGGTAAAAATAAGATTATGTTATAAAAAGTCAAACCTGAAATTACTCAAGAAGTTTTTTAACTCTATCAGATTATGTTATTTACGTAATTTCTTTTTGGTATTGCAATTATATTAATTATGTTATGTTCTTATATTGTTTAATTTTTAAATTATTAAACATATAACCAAATTAAAAGTCAAGCATAAAATATTATAAAGGAATAAATTAATGTCTTTTAAAAACTCTACTATAAAATAATTTTTTAAATAAGTAATTTATTATTTTTATATGTTATATACGTAATTATAATATATATACTACATATATCATATAATAATAAATAATAAATTGTAACCATTAATAAATTAATAAAAGTTTACCGATCTTTTAAATGTCTTATAACTAAACAAGTTGTTAAATCAAGTTCATAGAATTTTTTATGAAAATTGAATAAAACTTTAAAAAACTTACAATAAATAAATAGGTTATACTTTTGTTTTCCAATGAAAGGAGTAGACTAATAACATATTTTCACTCTAATACGAGTAAAATGTATAATATTTCAATTTATGAAAAATATTTTTATTTTTGAAAGAGTTTATAATAACATTTGTTATAATAAACTTCTTAAATTAATGTTTATTTTGACTTCTTATTTTTTTATGATATAACGTAATTAAATATGAGGCACTATCGCATATCTTAAAGGTTCGTTTTTCGCAGCACCACACAATCCAACTAAAAGTATACAATCCCACGATAAACTCAACGCCGAACACAATTAGTTATAGAATTTAATAAACATATATACAGTAAATAAAAATATTACATTGTTAATAAATTAAAAATCATTATAATAAACATTTAAATTAATTATTATAAAAATTGCTTAACATACAAATTTATAACTAAATAAAAAGTATTAGAAAAAACTTTTTAACTGTAACGGTTCTGTTTGCATTAGTTTTTTTACATAATACAAACGAAACCAAATTTATCAAGATCATATTATCAACCAAATGCATTCCTACAAAAATGTGCAAATTTTTATTTTGAAAGAAAATAATTTTTTTTCATTTGAAAATAACATGTTTTATTGTAATTGACTTAAATAAACTAAAGAATAATGAAAACAAAAAGAACACTGTAGAAGAAGAAAAAAACTGGATACAAAATACTTAATAAACATTGTAATTAATAATATATATATATATATATATATATATATATATATATATATATATATATATATATATATATATATATATACTTGGTACTTCTTCTAAAGCCTACATGGAGACTACTATTAAAAATGAATATTCCTAACATATATTTGCTGTGGTAACATCAACTTATCCCATTTCAGTGTTAGTCACTAATCCTTGTGATACACATGTATCCGAACCTAGTGATTTATCCGCTTACAAATGTTCATCAATGAATATATAATGGCTCTCTTGTGTTCAACATTTGGTGTGTATTATAAGGAAGATTAACGAGGTCATTGCAGTTTGGTTTAGAGTACATAACAACACCAGAAGCAGTGGCTGTTGGAGGAGATGGGGCTCTAGCATGGTTTGAATGGGAGAAAACCTTGACGGAGGAGCTCATGCAGAAAATTGTTTCAATCAGTGTTAGAAAGTAGGTTTTTGCATGGTTGTCTTCTGCGGCATTGTGTATTCCTTAACCAAAGTGGTTTACTTTTTGTCAAATTCTTATTGGCTGGATAGTGGAATATTTATGGGTAGATTGATAGAGTTTTACCATTACATCACCTTCTTTGTTTGTTCCAAATTCTAAAGTAAAATTTTATAGCAGTGGGTAGTTTCTATATTTTATTTGTTTGCATTATTTTCATTTTTATTTACATTCATCGTTTCTGTCGTTGTGGGATATTTATGTTATAATCTTTCTCAACGGTTTAGAATTATTATTGTTCCTATTTTTAAATATATATAATGATAAAATTGTGATAAGTAAATAAGAAGTTTTGATGAAAAAATAAAAAAATTTCCTCAAAAATATAATAAAATCTTATATCGACCCATCAACTAAACATATAATAATATCAAGATACAGTCTCATCTTATCCATCATTTTTTATAAAGTTAAAATAAATATCTTATAAATTTTAATATTTTTTTATTTTTTTATCTTGTGATGAAAGTAGTTGTATAAATATTTTAAATTTTTTTAGAAAAAAATTTATAAACAATTAAATAATATTTTTTATTTATATAAGCTTAAGATTAATCCAGGTGTATGGATTCCTATTCTTCTCTTACACATTATTTATGATTTTTTTTATTATAATTGATTGGATATGATTATGATTTGATAGTTAACTATCTTTGCAACATCCAGATATTATTTTCACCTCCTTTAATGGATAGGTGCTTCTTGACCTAGAAAAAAAAATAAATATAAAATCATGATATAGAATAAAATTATACTATTCTATTGTGTCATCATTTATTTTAAGAGAAATTTTTTGTAGATATAAAAATAAAATATTATTTAATGAAAAAGAAAAAAAATCTTAAAAATACACCTTAATTAAAGAATTCAATTTATTTACAAATTAATTATCAAATCATCTTTTTCATTTAAAGTTTAAAACCTGATTGATGAAAAAGAAAACATTAGAAAAATGCACCAATGAATGAAATTAAGAAATTTTAATTTATTTCTCGGCATAACCTTCTTTTTTGGGAGAAGACAGCAAGTTCCACATCAATGACTTTCTTAAATACACATTCCATGTTTATCTTAATCTTATTCAGTTTTTCTGGCTATTTTCCAGTTGTCATAACTATTGTTAACATGTTTAGTATTTTACAATGTTTTGTCATCTTTGAAAGAGTTAAAATTAGAATAATTGATAAAAAAAATATTTTACTTTTTATTCTTCGCCTAAACTTTTTTTAAAAGAAAATTATCTAATTTATTGTTATTTAAAAAAAATACTTAAAAAGAAGAATCTAATTAAAACGGTATTCATAGTAAATTTTTTGGTAAGAAAGAAGTATTCTTTGAGATAACTTTAGGTTGGATAGAATTACTATGAGGGACAAATTTTTCTCTCCAAATATTAAATATAACCACTTGTTACACTGAAACGATCTGATACAAATATATTTTGTAGTATTCATAATATAGTAAATAAAAAATGATATGCTTAATTAATATATATTTTATCATTGAAATTTTATAAATGTTTGAATAAATTATTAGGGATATAAAAAGAAAAAAAATATTCTTTCCAAAAATAAAATAAAAAACTTTCTTAAAAAAACATATGAACATATTCTTTGTTATTTTTACAGTATAAAATTTTTTAAGCTCATATCAAAACAATGGAATGAATGTGTTTTCTGACGAAGAAACTGAGTAATGTACCTTATACGTGACATATTGAAAAATAACAAACGAATAGAAATATGAACTTAATAGCACATTTCTTAAAAAGATATTTAAAGAAAAAATAGAAAAAAAAGAATTGACACTTCAAATTTTCTAAACATCTCATTGACATCTTTAAAATAATATTTTTTTTATTAATAAAAAAGAATAAAGTAAAAAAAATAATATAAAAATTTAAAATAGTTGTTGAAAGATTGTTTATAAATCATAGATGTGTATCAAAAAATAATACATCCATGTGTTGCCTTCTATTTGTATAACTGTATATCTGACATGAACCAGTTCTGCTACTTTTTTTTCTCACTTTTTATCTTGATGTAATTTTTACCTTAGATAACATCTTTCTCAAAAAATTTATGGTATATATATATATATATATATAGAAAATACTGTGATAGTATGCTTTTGTCATATACCCTAAATAATTTTTTGATAATAATAATTAGTACATTTTATTATTATATTACAAAAGAGTTGTCCAATAATTATATATAAAAATTATATTATCAAAATATCATATTTATAAATAAATTAGTTTGATTATGCATGCAACCGAACTCATAAACATTTATGGTAAAATTTAAATAAATAGAAATTATTAATATATATTAATTAATGTAAATAATATAATATATTTATTTTATATATCATATAGACGAAAGGAGATAAAAAATAAATATAAATTTTTTAAATACTCATTTAAAAATAATTAAAACGTATTTTATAATAATAAAAGATAATAAATTTTATATATTTCATGACTAATTGTATAAAAAATATATTGTAAATATAATTTTTACAATGTGTAAAATTAATAAAACTAATATTTATCTATTATTTTTAAAAATTTTAAATTTTATGTAAAAATTTAACAAAGTCTTTAATTAAATTTTATTTTTTTATATCAAATTTAAACTTACTTTCAAAAGAAAATTAAATTTTGATCAAATTAGTTGAAAGATAATAAGAAGGATTTTTCTTTTTATAAAAAAATATTGTAAAAATAGTTAAAAACTTTAAAATTTACAATAAAACAGAACTTTTTTTAAGTATTTTTTAAATCATATAATTTGTTCATATTGAGTAAAAAAAATGATATTTATTATGTACTTAAAAATACCAATAAGATGAAAGAAACTTATTTTTCATTAAAAATAATAAAAACTTTATTCCCACAAACTGAAAGTAAAAAAATCATTTATTTTCATTAAAAAATTATTCAACACAGTATCTTTTGTTAATTTTAGATACAATTTTATATAAAAAATATTTTTTATATAATTCAATATATATATATATATATATATATATATATATATACCAAAAATAATATTTTATTAAACATATACAAAATAATAAAAGACTTTTTTTTTCATAAAATTGATCCAATCTCGCGAACTAATATTATGTTTATTTTAGATACAAAATTTATATAATTAAATATATATTAAATAATTAAAAGAAACATCAATTTTTGATACACAATATTATTATTTTTTTAAGTTGATAAACTATCCTATTTGTTTTTATAAAAATCTCTATAAGCATATACACATTTTTTATTTTAAACATTTATTATATATGAAAAATATACTTTTGCTGTTTTTATTTGAAAAATAAACTAACTAAACAATGCAAATTTATTTTTAAGAAAAAGAGATTTCAAATATGATTTAAGAAAGTTTTATTTATTTTAGAATAATTAATAATTCTTTTTACATACATAGAAATTTATTTGTTTTTTTCTTCTTTTGAACGATTCAATATTGATTAATCGTATCAATATTGATTTACTATATTATGAATCTCGGTTCACTAGATTCTTCTTTTATTCATTTTTCCAGAAAAAAAAAATATATATATATATATATATATATATATATATATATATATATGAATATATATAACGATTTTGTTTACTTAATTCAAAATGTTTAGACTAATTACTTTTTGGAGATCTATAATCTCAAACATATTAAAACAAGGTTGTCAACCTAAAAAATAAAGTTGGGTTAACCAATTCAATAGTAAATCTTTGTAGTTTTTCATTTAGTTAAAAGTTACTACAACAATTTGATAGTAAATTTTGTTTTTACAAATTCTATGAATAAAAAGAAACAAAATTAAGATGATTAATGACGCAAGATTAAGAAAAGGTGTACAATTTTGTGAGAGCAGTTTTTTTTTTTTTTTGGTGAGTGTTTTTACATTAAATATTCTTCCATATATGCATGGAAAGGTGATTTTTACAATCTCCCAATCCAGAAACCACTTGAATGAAAGAAAATCGATGGTTTTTGTTGGAGTCTCCAGAACCGCGTGTTGTTTTAGGTGTCTCCATTTACAGACAGAAGAGGCCTATAAATTGAACCCTTTAACTTCGTTTGCCAACATTCTCTTCTCCGTAGCGGCATACCCTAAGCTGTAATAAGTTCTTCCTTCGACCTTTTCATGGCCATGGATTCAGGAGTAAAGAAAAGCTATGGCCGCCAAAAGATCGAGATGAAGAAAATGAGCAACGAGAGCAATCTCCAAGTCACCTTCTCAAAGCGCCGTAGCGGACTCTTCAAGAAGGCCAGTGAGCTTTGCACTCTCTGTGGTGCTGAGGTGGCACTTGTTGTGTTCTCCCCGGGAGAGAAGGTTTTCTCCTTCGGCCACCCCAACGTGGAGGCTGTGATCGACCGCTACCTCGCGCGGGCTCCACCTCACGACTTGGGTACCATGCAGTTCATCGAGGCCCACCGACTGGCTCACGTGCGTGAGCTCAACGCGCAGCTGACTCAGATCAACGCCCAGCTGGAGGCCGTGAGGCAGCGGGGAGAGGAGCTGAATGGTATGAAGAAGGACGCCCAGGCCCAGATGTGGTGGGCTCAGTCCATCGAGAAGATGAGCCCAGCACAGTTGGAGCAGTACAAGACGGCGTTGGAGGATCTGAAGAAACTGGTTGCGCGTCTTGCTGACAGGGCCATGCTGCAGAGTGCGACAAACCAGGGTCATCAGTTTTTCCCCGGGGCTCCTTCCTCTTCCAATCTGGTGCATCAGCCACACCCTCCTCAGTTGTTCCCCCCACCGCTGATGCAGCCACCCATGTTTCAGAACTTCATGTTTCCTGATGGGAGCATGGTAAGCCACCATGGGTTTAATCACATGGGAATGGGAGGATATGCACCTGGCCCTGGCCCTGGACCTGCTGGTGGTTTCTTTTGATCCATTCAATCCATCCATTTCTTCATGCTGCCCTTTTGTGTTAAGAAAATCTTTTTTTTTTTTTTTTCTCATTTCGATGTAGGGCTTAGCTAGTTAATTTCATGGCTGAGACATGGATACTATTCAAGGGTTCGGATATTTGAGACCTGTCTTCAACCATCGTCACCAAGTCATCTTCTGTTAGAATGTATACCCTTCTATTCCTTCTTTCTTGTTGTGTAGTTGAGACTGTTGTAGTGTTTTTGTTTAATTTAAATTTTTTAAATAAAGGCCAGCTTATTTATTTTCTTTGAAGGTTCTTTTTCTTTCTGTTTTCAAACGAACCTTTTCGTTTTCCCATCTACTTATGTTACCATGTTATGAAAATCTATTTAGTTTTTGCTAGTATGTTTCTTCAGCTAGCCAGTAGCTTGTGTTCAGCCTTAAAAATGTGTTATAAAAGGTTGAAACTTTAGTCATGATATAAACCTATACTAGAGGCTCTTGATTTCTTCATCAGAAAAAGTTGGCAAATACGTACCAACAAGTGCAAAACTTAATAACGATGAAGACAATCTGTTCTATCACCAAAAATATTAAATAATTTACACACAAATTCTTTAGTTTAAGGTAAAAATTAATTAGAATACATTAATAGTTTAAATTTATCATCTAATTATATATTGTCATAATTTGTATTAATTATTTAAAAATATTTTAGAGTAAATTTTAATTTTAATAGTGTAAAATTTGTTTACAGTGATAATGTATGAAAACTAAACTTGTATAATATAATCGAATCCATTTTGAGATAATCATGCACATGCTATATGATACGTCATGTAGATTAATAATTAAAATGTACGGTAGAATTAGTCAAATTGATAAAGTAATGGTTATATCATATGCTAATTTTTTAATCAAATATATGCTTATAGTTTTGAAAGTGATTTTCTCTCTCTTTTCTAACAATATTTTTAACCTTTGAGAAATGTACTAGATTTATATATATATATATATATATATATATATATATATATATATATATATATATTTTTATTTTGAAATGTCACAATGATAAAATAAAATCCGGGTCCTAAATCTGTTTATAAAGGATATTACTTCTTTTATTTTTATTTTGTATACATGCATATTAGTATTAGCATCTAATGTAATTTAGTTTTCGATTTTATATGATGGTATTGGAAGAGTGTCACCGACTGTTGTCATTTTATTTTAATTTACCCAAAAAAATAAATAGTCCCACCCATTTGCTAGATTAAAAAAAATTACTTAAAAGAGATATTTTAAACTTTATAGAAATGAACAACAAATAATTTTTTTTAATAAAAACTAAAATTGAAATTATATTCAAGCCTTTTTTTTTAAAGAAAAAACTAAATAACACATACTTTATCTGTTTAATCTGTCCGTTATTGACCAGACTAAGGCGAATAGTAACTGGGCCTGTGGACTTGAAGCCCTGAATGAGTCAGACCCATTACTTACCTCTTTAATTTAAACAAAGCATTTATACCAATATTTACACAAATTAACAGGTAAGAAATATATTATAAAATATTCAATTCTTACACTTTTAATTGTGTATTATTCATTTAACGATAACTCAATTATTCAATCAATAATAACATTTCAAAACCATGAATAAATTTTGAACTCCATGTAAATTTAAATTTATACAGGTATGCGACAATTAAGGTTCGTGAATTATGAAATTCATGTGAAAAAGCTATACTTGTATCTCTGATATTTATATTGACATCAAATGTACAGTAGCTCGTTTAAACAAAATTCGGAACTTTGGCGAATGAAATTTAAATCTTATAGTAGTTATTTGGCATCACTAAAATTTGCATTAATTTGGATAAGCATATATATCACTTACAATAAAAGCATTTTCGCTCATTATTGAGATTAGACATCTGTATATATTTCAACTTTTTTCCAACATTTTGGTGGCTTCATTGGCATTCCAAAGCAGTGCATAAAGTTTTAAGAAAGCAACCAGTTTAGGTAGTAAGTTTCTTCTTATACTTGCTCTGCACCAGGCTAAGTAGAAAATCTGTAAATACGTGCTCATAATCTGGCATTTTCCCATACCCTGCAGTGGATAAAACCGTAAAATAGAGTTATCATCAACATGACAAATCAAAAAACACAGACAAACTTCGGTGTAGACAAAATAGTCGAGACATAACAAGTGTCGCATAATGCGCATGGCTAGAGAACGTGTGAAATTATAATTTTCAAATCCATACTCTCCACTAAACATGGTGATTAAGCAACACAACATGATCCAAACCAAGTAACGAAGTAGGGCTCCACATTTGTTAATCATAGACTTGCTTAAATGTAAACAAGTTATACTTGCCTGGAAAGTAGTTGATGTCTATGACGTAAAACACATCCTTGGTTCCATATTCTCTAATCATATCTATGTTGAACAAGTGGAGTCCCTAGAGATGGAGATTCAATTTCGTTTTAGTATATCATATGAAAATTAAAAAATGACTGCAAAAGGAAGAAAATAAGAAATGACCACAATACCAATCTATGACGGAGCTCCTTGGCAAGCCTCTCCAATAATGGACGCGGTGGATGTTCTGTAACAAAAGTGTCACGGTAGAAATGAGACAGTTCCAGCCATTACGCCAAAGCAATTAAATGCATGTAGTAATTCAAACAATTCACTTTGTAATGGTCTATATATACTACTTAATGGCATCAACCATTCAGTTGACATTTGCAAAACTTTAGGGACACATGTGGGACGTATAAGCTAAAACAATAGTCCATAACTAAGCACACCTTTGACATACACCAAAATTGAATAAATGAAAGAAGAAAAAAGGTAGTATTTTTTTTAAAAAACTGTTCCACTTTTGGTGATGGTGGACGACGGGTAGCATAAGTCTTACCTGCTATATTAGGATCTAGATCAGCATCATCTGCAGAAGCTGCTGCACATGAAACTCTTGGGAAACGGAATACACCTGCAACTTTTGATAGTTCACGCTTACTGATATTAGGAAGAGAGAAACGCCTCACAACCTTTATGGTTTCCCCAACAATGTAAATCTTAAAGAGAAGACCACCTGTATTGTCAACCCCAACCCCCCAAAAAAAAAATAAAGAGATTAGATAGCAATGCAAATTGAACACAAAAGATCATGATCTAAGGTTCATTGCACAAACCATGATTGACAAACTCCTGTAGAACCAGCGGAGGTTCAAGCTCTGATAGAGAGAATTCGTCATAAGCAAGAAATAGTTCATGTGACTTTGCAGTACTATCCACAACTAGTGGTTTTGCAACTGAGAAATTCAAAAGGAAAGGAATATTTTTAAGACAGGAGAGACGAGGAGCATTTGTCAACTATCTAAAATACAAACTTCAGGTCGTATATCATAACATTATAACAGAATATGGAATAGATGAAAACAAGGTTCTTTAAAGTCTATTCGCGTATTCTGGGCTATTGGTGGTCAACACCCATCAATGTAGAGGTTGACTGACTGAACGCATGCCAATGGTGTGGTTTAAAAGTAAGTTAGATCCGTCCCAAGAAATTAAGACCAGGAAAAGAAAATTAAACAAAGATACATACCTAATGGCAACTTCATCCCAGCTTTGGCGACTTCATAAGGAATGCTAGAGGGGTCTTTCTCTTCTGTGATAACTAGCTGACGTGGAATGCCAACCTTGCCTGGACAACAACAGTAGTTAGTACATAGATGCAGATACTTGGTAGTGCAAAAACTGGTTTACCATACATGTACTGCAGAATCAACTTGAAAAATTGAAAAGCCAACAACTTTCAAATACAACTTAGTAAGTAGCTCAATACAAGAGAAAGATGCATGCTGCATTGTGATGATTCTGATTAAAGATTCATATACTATCCTGAAACTTTCAAATGATAGTTACCATGGCAGTCAGATAAGTTCAGATCCACCACATCTTGCAGCATGGATTGGCGATTGTGTAAATGTTGAATTGCATCGGGAGGATCAAGGACAGTTACCTCAGGATGTTTTTGCCTATAATCCTTCGAAATTAGAAAAGGGAGAAAAAAAAAATCCAATCAGCTCCATCAATACAAACTTTACAGACCTATTTAGAAATCATGAAACAATATTTTCAGTTAGGAGACGGAAGAAACAAAAGATAAAACTTGCATATGAAATGAATGCAGCTGGTGTGTAGCAGTATTGGCTTCTAACCTACATAAATTTGATTTCCAAGACATAGTACTGTTGTAGTCGCTAGCAAAAGTATTAAAGAAACAACATTTTCAACTAAGAAACAAAGAACCAAAATAACAGATAGAGATAATAATACATTCTTTGGGCAACAAACTCCAGCCATGCCTAACCAAATTATGTAGATTAATCACAAAAGTAAATCCTCACTTGTTTGAACACTTGGGGACTGATTTCAACTATCTGATCATGATTCATGATGAGGAGAGCATGAACTCTGCAAATTATGTCAGACAATAATAAGCTTTTAAGAATCCAAAAGATTTGGTTGTCCAGTCCATCACCGCCACTTCATGCTTAATTCCCAGACTAAGGATACTAACGATTTTCATGCAATGCCACAAATGTGTGTAAAGAAAAGTAATAAAGCTGCGCAAGATTGATATCACAATGTGGAAGTCGGTAGAAGTGTCAGGAGTTCACAAACCTCAATAATCTCATGCCACTCCTCCCCTGATAACTGGAAAGAACAAATACCCAGTCAGATTATTATATAGAGAATGGGAAAAACAGCAGTAAATCATAAAATGCTAATAGCCTGTTATTGAACAAAAACTTCAGCAAATCCATGACAGCAATCTCAAAAAACTTGCCACATATGAAGAATTTCAAACGTCAATAATGATAAAACGCTGAAAGAAATGTCACAAACCTTATGCAAGATAATATCAAAAGGACCTTGTTCTGGTAGTGGTTTGTTTAGATCAACAGCGACGAAGTATATCCCCTTGTTCCTGCATCGTACATAATTTTTACATATCAGTATTAAGAGTGTCAATATAGTTGTAGCAAAAGACTTTATTAGTAATTTTATTCAAATATACTGCCAACCAAAATATGTTTCATGGCAATAATACATACACCCCATACAAATGGTCAACATTTATATTACCTCAAACTAATCTTGATTATCCAAGCAAGATTAAATGATCAAGATTAATCCTATCACAGCCTCACACTCTTACTTTATATGTTGCCTGTAAGGAGAGATTGGTTTAGACTAGTATCGGAACTAACAATATTGGTTCGTTAAATAGCTTTGTATGGAATGTGATATGATTTTTATCGACCAAATCATTGAACTATATATAACAGCTTGTTTTGGGAAAATTGAACAAAAATAAGAATAAAATTAAACTGTTTTTATATTCAAATATTACAAAGTGTACGTCAAGCAAATCTTGACGTAAAATAATGTCTGCTACATAACATAGGATCATTGTAAAATTTTATAAAATATGTTACAAGATAGGAACTTTCCATTTTTACAGTATAACTTCTGAATAAAAGGTTCATTTAAATCATTCATTATGTTGTTGAACTTCACTGCTATAGATCAAGATCAACGCTATTTTAAAATATATGAAAAATAATAATCATTAACTTTTATTTTTAATGTTTAACTTTTAATGAATAGCAATTCGATTTAATCCATGAATAGCAATAATATTGAATGGAATAATATACAAAAGTTACACTGACTTAATTTGGTTTCCTCTAATTCTAATGCCCAGTTGGCAGCAGTCTTGTCAATGAACAGAATAGACTAAAACATTAGTGGACAATAATGTAAATTTAACATTCCAGAGAAGCAAGCAGTGTGAATTGATTCAAATTAAGAATACAAAATGTACTCAGATTTGACCTTGGGTTGTCCATGTGGACAAATCCAAAGGAAACCAGGGTATGAATGTTGGAATATTCCAATTTAAATAAGAATTGAGAAAAGCACAAGACATAGCAGATATGCATAAGCAAAATCCGTAAGTTGAAAATAATTAAGAAAAGAAAAAAAAAAAAACACAGTTGCTGGGTTCCAGTGACGAAAGTGATAGACATTAGGCATGGTGCAAAAATTGCTCCACCATTACATACTACACAGACAAAGACACAACGTGTGGCTGTGAACCCCACCACTGCAAGCAAAAGCTCCTTTAACGCTAAAGGAGCAAAACACGAAACAAGTAAAAAGATCAAAACAAAACAAAACAAAACAAAATATAACAAAACCCAAATAAATAAATAAATAATAAATTAATGAAGTCCCATTGTTTGAGGTGATTAAAAAGTAAAAATAAATGTGCATGCAGATGAAGGAGAAAGACGGATAGTTACCGTGCAAGGGCAGTGAAACTTGGCTGCAGAAAGCTTCTTTTCTTCTTTGACGTTAAGGCATACCCAACCACCACTTTCTGCGCCGAAAACATCGTCGTTCCGGCTTCCTTCTCTTCTTCGTCTTCTCCGCTTGAGATTTCTCCATTGAGCCTCATCCTCGCAAACCCCAGAAGCCCCTTGATTAAAAAGATCAAATCTTTTCCCCTCCTCCGCTTCAATTTCGGCGCCGGTGGGTTCTAAATCTCGGAACCAAAGCGGGGAACGGAATTTGCGAATTTCCCAAGGAGAAACAGGGGAAGAAAACGTTGGAAAGAGGGTAGAGAAGGGATGGAGAGGAATGTGTGATGATTTGTGGGGAGAGAAATCTTGAGTTTTGCAGGAGGAGGAAGAAGAAGAAGAAGATTGGGTTTGGGTGTAATTGTGGAAGAAGTGTTAAGGTTTGTCAAAAGTCTTCTTTTTCTCTCTTCTCTTATCCTTTTTGTCACTTTTGCCCCTTTGTCTGTCAGTTCATTTGTTTATTCATTTTCTGGTTGGCTTGCACTGTTCTGTGCAAGTCAAAAGATTAAAACTTTACAAACACCTGACCTATGGGCATGGTGTTTCGGTCCAAACCAGTTTTAAATAGCATTTAAAAATAGGTCTTTAATTTGTGGTTCACACAGTCAAAATCATATCAGATCAAATCATGTATTAATTTTTCTCATACTTTCATATAAAATCTCGTGAACTTAAGATATTTAAATTATACATTTCTATTTGTACATAAATTATTAGTTATGTGTTTTTTTTTTTACTAAGATAGTGTAATTTTTTTTAAGCATAATAAATTGGATATTAAAAAAATATTTCGAAAAAGATTTCATTTTACAGAAAATATGTTTACAAGAACAAATTTCTTTTTTTTAAATAAACTAAAATCATATTGAGAAATACAATTTTAATTTAACTGGGAGTCAACTTTTTCATTTAATTTCAGTTTTATTATAATAATTATTATTATAACCTTAATAATAGTATTAATCATAATAATAAAAATAACATTAACAATATTATTATTCTTATTTATAAGTAATATTATTAATTATAAATAATATTTATTTTATAGAAATAATAATAATTAATATTTTTATTATTATTATTATAATAATAAACTTGAAGTAATACGAAGAAGTTCGACTTCAATTAAATTGAAGTCATCTATTTTCCTTCAACCTTAATTTAGTAATAATAATAAATAAAATAATACTAAATTAACGTATTAATCATATGATTCATCCATTTTATAATTTCAAAGTTCTAAATATTTTGATAATTTCACTATTTGTTAAAAAAACTTGTCTTTTACTTTTTTTATTTTTTAATTGATGACTTAAAAAAATTATATATTATTTATAAAATTTAAGATTATATTAATTACTTTTTTATTAATTATATTTTTAATTACATTTATTGTAAAAATAAAAAATAATTATAAATATTTCAAATGAAAAGAAAATATTAATAATGCTTTTCAATGAAAATTAATAATTAATTTATATAATCAAACCTTGAATAGATATTAAAATAAATCAATATGATAAAATATTTATTAATATTTTTATTCATTCTAAAATACCTAATACTTGTTAAATTTTATTTCAACTTTTTAAAATAATTTTAAAGATTAATTTTTAAAAATAAATTTAAAACAAAATTTGTTAATAACTTTATTTGGTGAAAATATTATGACAAAAATTGAAAAATAATTTTAATATAGTTTTATAATAATGAAAATGAATTATTTCATGTAATTATTAAGTAAACCTTTGATTTAAATTAAAATAGAAAATATTTTTTTAAATCTTTATTTGGTGAAAATATTATGACAAAAATTGAAAAATAATTTTAATATAGTTTTATAATAATGAAAATGAATTATTTCATGTAATTATTAAGTAAAACTTTGATTTAAATTAAAATAGAAAATATAACTTTTTTTAATTTGTTAATAACTTTATTTGGTGAAAATATTATGACAAAAATTGAAAAATAATTTTAATATAGTTTTAGAATAATGAAAATTAATTATTTCATGTAATTATTAAGTAAAACTTTGATTTAAATTAAAATAGAAAATATATTTTTTTTAGTTTTTTTTAAATTCTAAATTATTTTAACAAATAGCTAAATGTTTCTTATGGCTGTTAAATGTCCTCACAACACAACTTATTAAATGTATACTTTTCTTGTTTTTCCATCAATGTGATATATTAAATACATTAATGTTGTATTAAATTTTATATTCAAACTAAAACCATTTACTATTATTTATTATTTACCAAATATATATATATATATATATATATATATATATATACACACGAGAAATAAATTTCACCAAAAATATGCACACTTGAGAGATACGAAGATTTAAAAAATAATACAAAAATAAAAAAAACATCGATCAATCAAACTAATAACTCAGTATAATCAACCTACCCACTTGAATCTTTTTTTCACACAAGAATGCAGTTGAAAACCGAACATGGTGAGAATAATTTTGCATTCAATATTACATATAATGTTAAATATTTGCCGTTTAAAATGATGAAACTCAAACAACGAAACGTAGGCAACCCCCACATTTACTATGGTGGGATTCCAAGTTGATAACATATATAGTTAATTTTTTAACATAATCATTAACTAAGTTAAAAAAAAAACTCGTGCCTCTGAGGTCAGGTCAATATTCATTTTTTATATGCCAGCAATAAGAATATTTGCTTACGAGAATGAGAATATGCTTGAAGTTAGAGCAGGAAAATGAGTGATTTGGGGGCCAAATTACCCACCCCAACTTGACATTAAGACAAGCTCGTGGGAGAGTCAAACTTGTGAGGTTGAACCATCTACTTAACAGGGATTTGAAAGCATCTCCTAAATATATGGTCCTAAGTTCAACGTCAAGTCAATTCATTGACACAATGACATTCATATCCTTTTCTGATTTTTTTTTTTTTTTCAACAATAGTAGTAGACTAGGGTAACTTTTTAGGGCAGGCACGACTAAATATTTGCATTCTTTTATGTTTTCAAGTCTGGATCTAGTTTGAGCTAAGACATGCAAACACGTTTTTCCTTTCCTTTCATCATTTTCTAACTAACCAGATAAAATTTGTATAATTTTTCTATTTTATTTTCATTCGCAAGTGTTTGTGGTTGTTTTATGAGGGTAAGATAGAAGCAGCATCGTGACCCATATTCCTCATGCTCCAATTCATTCTATTTATCAGTTGACTTAATTAGCATCTTCCTTTTCCTTCAAATCTACTTTGTTTTCATTATTTAAAATAGTGTTATACCAAACCTGTTGCATGGCATGTGACATCAGTGCAGTAGACCCAATTATAAACTCTGGCTTTTGGATGAGCTTAAATCCCTCGTGACCTTACATGAGTCCAAGGAGCTGCATGCACACTCGAAGAAAAACATTTTTGGATCCTGCTATTCTTGATTACACCTTGTCGTTTGTGTTGGTTGAGATGCCATGAATCATATCTGATAATCATATTGGGGCATTGGATTCTATCTAATTCCCACCAACTTATCCGCATAAACAGATGTAGAATATTTCTATAATTTATGAGAAAACAAGTATTGTATTAATAAAATTAGTGTCTGAGTCAATGAGAACGAATATAATAACAAACATAGGTGAGTGACTGTGACAAAACCCTGCATATTCATAATAGAAATTAGTTTTTTAAGAAGGTAACACCTAGCTCATCACTTCTCCCAAGATATAATTTGAAACTCTGCATGTCGCTAATCCAAATTAATATTGAATATTAATCAATAGATAAAACTCGTATAAGCTGAAAGGTCATTGAAGAACATAGGCCACATCTGTCTTTACACAAGACATTTGTGCTTAATTATAATTCATGTCATGTTTTGTTTCTTCGTGCCGCATGCTCTATTGACACCACACTGTCCTTTTCTGAACGGAACAAAATAATTTTTGAAATCATCAACTATTCTGACTAAATTGCATATCACAGTGTTATCTTATCCACATGTTGGTATGCATCACATATACACATATATTAATTACTTGATTTGTCATTTATTATGTGACCAAGTTGGGGCACCTCAGTTTGTTTGAAATTTGGAGATGATGTCCTGTTGCGAAGTACGTCCAGTTCGTGTATAACACTCATGTGCTGCCATACATCTGTTCCAACACTTAATATTCACCATACTTCTAAAAATGATATATGAAACAAATTCTTAGAGTACTTTTAAGGTAGATATTATCTATTAATATATATATATATATATATATATATATATATATATATAAACTCTCTTTATTTTTATTTGTAAATAATATGGGACTCATATAACCAGATAATAAATATATATACATAGGAATTTTATTTTAAATACAGTTTTTATAAAAAAAAAAAAATTCTTTCTATTGAATTAAATCTGCATCGAATATGAAGAATTTTTTGAAAATTACTTTTGTAATCGAAGCCAACAAACAAACTAATGTGAAGAAGAGGGGAAGAAGATCAAACTAACACGTTATGAACAAAAAGAACAAGGTCAGAACCAATAAACCCAAAACCTTTAAAATGATAATAGGTTGCACGAAGAAGTTAGAAGAAAAGGACCTGGCGTCAAGTTGAAATAGTTAAAAACATATATTAAAATTTTGATTTGAAAAATTATAAAAATTGTATCAGTTAACTTATTATTATTATTATTATTATTATTATTATTATTATTATTATTATTATTATTATTATTATTATTATTATTATTATTATTATTATTATGAGAATCAATTTATGCATGAATAACTAAATATGATGTGGTAATGTAAAGTTAATTAAATTGTTTTAATATAACAAAAATATTTATTTCAAATTGATAGCATTAGAAATACTTTAGAATTATATATATCGATTAATTTAGTCTCTCGATGAAATTAATTTCTAACTTTGGTAAGTTTCAACGAATTTTATCCTAAAATTAGCACTATAGTTAATTGATCTTTAAAATCTAAGAAAAAAAAGTCATAATTTCGATACCTATTGCTAGTTCCCAAAGTATTAACTATCAGCTTAATTTTATTCTTTAAATATTAAGAACCTGATTAATAATATATTAAATAAAATAAAACATTTAGTTGATCCACAAAATTAAACATTAAAACAATACCAATGAAAAACTAAATTGACAACTCCTTAATATTAAAGATTAAATTGCGTGCTAATTATTAATTTCAATAATAAAATAATTGTCGTAATCAGAATCGCGACTGGATGACAAAATTAAGTTTATAAATGAAAAAAAATAATGGAGTCGTCACCAATATTTATTTTAAGGAGAAAAATCCTTTAAAAAAGAAAAAAGAGTCTACGAAATAAAGATTGGATTCGGAGTCGAGTATGTGTAAGGAAAGTATTAGTATCTTACAACATCCGTTCTAAAAAAACAGTTACCTTTAATTAGATATAAAAATTTAAATATCTTAAAATTATATATTTTATCCCTCAAATTTATATATCGATTAGATATTGCTACTAAATAAAAAAACTATATTTTTTTATATTATTAGCTCGACATCATCTCCCTGCTCCTACGTATCTCTAGGTGCAATGGAGAATCGGAGTAACGTAGTTCTCTTTTATAAAAAAATGTATTTGTGAGTTATTTATTTAAATTTATTTATTAGTGTTGATAAATTAAAAGTATACTTAGGATAATTATGAAATAAACAAATTAAAAGTGCATCTAAAGTCATTATTATTTTTTTATATATAATTTAAATAATAATTAAATTGGAAGTACATCTAAAGTAATTATTAATATTCAAATATTTTTAATTATTAAATTTATTATCTCTTTTCGTGGATTTAAGATACTTTAAAAATCAGTATTTATTATAATCAAATCACAAGTACATTTGAAGTGATTATTATAAATTTATGATAATCAAATTGAAAATACATCCAAAGTGATTAATTAATTTTTTTATATAATTTTAAGTAATAGTTAGTTTGAAATGTGTCCTAAACGAGTTACTACCATAATTAAATCCTTTTGAAATTTATTTTACTAAAATTTAACATTTTAAATTAATTTTTATAATGATCAAATTAAAATTCGTTCAAAATAACCATAAAATTTTAATCTTACAATAATTAAATCAAAATTGTAATTATATTTGAATAAATAACTTTGTAAATTTATTAGTTCTAATTAAAAAAAGGCTGTAACACAAAAAAAATTAATTGTCACTAATGTAAAATATTATTCATGTACTTATTTGTTGATTTTAAATAAAGAAAAAAGAAAAAAATAATAATAATGATAATAGTAATAATAATAAGATAATAATAATAATAATAATATTATAATAATAATTATTATTATTTTTTGTTTTTGTAATTTATCTTATTATAGTGTTCAATTTAAAATAGAAAAGAAAAAAATATTAAGCCCAATAACTCATAAAAAAATTTCAGATTACTATTTGAAATATTTTATGTTATTTTCACCTCCTTTCAATTTGGGTCACACGTATTATTTTGAGCTTACTTGTCCGTCTCTGCCCATTTTGCTTGAGCCTCTTAACCTAAACCTAATGGGAGTCGTAGGAGACGGGATTCGCAGAGGGGCTAGGGCTGCTAGGTGAGGCGCGCACGACTAGGGTTCAACTGAGGGAGATGAGAGTGCTACGGTAGTTTCCAATGAGAGGAGGCAGTCCACGGTGGAGTTGGCTGCGCTATGGCTCGCGATGGTTGGCGAGAAATGGTTCGCGGGTTCAATGGTGATGATGGTCGGAAATAAAGGGTGAGGTGCGGAGGAAACAACCACAAGGGTGGTGTAGTGTGAGCGGTGGGTGTGGTTCGATAGCAAGGGGTGATTCGCGGCTGAAGGCACCTACTGGGGTTGGTGGATGAGAATGAGCGGTTAGGGTTCTGGTGAAGGAGATGGAAGTCGAGACTGTGTGAGTTTAAATCTGGGAATTGGTGAAGGAGAAGGGTTTTGCTATCGAAAAAAAGAGGATGGATGAGGTGGAAACCACGGGTCGCGGCTGGGTTATGGTGGTCGTCGATGGTGTGGTGGCGGTCGCTAGTGGTATGGTGGGTTTACCGTGGTGGCCGGTAAGATAGTAAATAAGTTTTTTTTTTATAATTTTTATTAATCGTTATAAAATATACACACAATTAGGAATTGGGAACATAATACATTGTTGATTGTTTGCCTCTATTGATTGTTGTCTCGACTGAGATGAGATATTGTTGTGGTTGTATTGACTGAGGGTTCTCTGATACGGTGTTTGTTTGTGATAATCTCTTCTTTTTCAAGTTTTTTTTTTTTGAAAACCAAGTCCCCCTCTTCTTTTTATGAAATCTCCCTCTCAATTGTTGGAGCTGGAGCTTATGGTGGCTGGCTGGTTGTAGCTGGTGGTTGTAGGGTAACTGGTGGTTGTAGGATGGCTATTTTTTTATTATTATTATTTTTATTATCTCGTTTGGTGTTTAGTTGTCCCTCTTTAATTAAGTTTTATTGGATAATTTGAATGGGAATTCATATTATCATATTAAAACATAATTAAAGATGTGAACACCAAAATACTGCAAATATAAGTTGAAAATTTAGAAATGGACTCGGGGATGTATGCAAATACAAATAAAATTATGATTTGAAAAGTTGAAAACTTGAGGATGGACTCGGGGATCCAATATTGCGATTGTAATATGCAAATATGAAATTTTGATTTGAAAAAGTTGAAAACTTAGAAGTGGATTCGGGAATCCAATATTGTGATTGAAATATGCAAATTTAAAATTTTAATTTGAAAAAAGTTGAAAACTTGGAAGTGGATTTGGGGATCCAATATTGTGATTGAAATATGCAAATAGAAAATTGTAATTTGAAAAAAGTTGAAAACTTAGAAGTGGACTCGAGGATCCGGTATTGTGATTGAAATATGCAAATATTTGTAATTTTGAAAAAAATTGAAAACTTAGAAGTGGACTCGGGGGCCCAATATTGCAACTGAAATATGGCGATTGAAAATTTAGAAGTGAGTTCATAGACTTAGGGCTCGGGGACCAAATACAAAGTTGTGATTTGAAGTGTTGAAAGTTTGGGAAGTAATGCATATAATTTAAATCTTATAAGAGGCATGTGAAACCTTGTAAGGGACATGAGAAACTAACATGAATATTTTCGCACCCTCTAGCCGATGGCGGATCTTGACCATTGATTTTGGGGGGCCAAATAATATATTATTAATAAATAATAAATAAATATAAAAAGAAGAAAGAAGATGAAAGGTGAAAAGATAAAATTCTAGATATATAC